ACACACACACACACACGTGTGTGTGTGTGTGTGTGTGTGTGTAAGGCACTATTTTATTATGTAAAAGAATTACAAGGGCTAATATTTGCATGTCTAGGGAAGAAAATATAAAATATATAAAACAGGGTTCTTTCATATTAATTACCACTGCTTGTACTATTTTGTACTATTTTTATAGATTTGTGTATAATATTGCTTTGTATTTTTATTTGTAAATACCTGTAAAGTTAACCTCAATGTATTCTGTGTATATATTGATATGACTTCGCCTATCAAAATAACGTAACCATTATATGAATGTCCATTATAAGTATGCAGTTTTATAACAACATGTCTCAACTTTACAACAAAAAAAATCTGTTTGAAAAGCCGATGAAAACGGACCAAGTTATGGTTATTTAAATAGTAAATACACCACACACATTCATGTTAGGAGTGGGCAAGCTCCCCGTCCCAAGATGGCCGCCATGTGAGGACGTCTGTCTCCATTGGCCAACAGCGGATACGACTTATCTAGTCTTTATATATATCTATGGTTTAAATAATGACTTTAATTCCTGTTAGCACATATCACTAATATCCTCCTACATTTTTCACCTTTCAGGCTGATGACACATATATGCAGCTGAAGAAGGACTTAGAGTATCTGGATCTAAAGGTGAGAAAATAGCTATTTTTTTTGCTGGACCTTCACTGATTTGATTCTTTAACATTTAGTGTATCTTGCTGACACACTCTTCTTCTGTCGAACCAAAGCAGCTGCAACAGGCTTCTGTGTGTAACTAAGCATTCCCAAAGACTAAAGCGTAATGGTCTCTAACTCTCGACTGCTTTTAGAAGCGTCTCAGCCAAAGCAGCCGTCATAATGTGACTGCGGCTCTGTGTCTCTGTGATTCTTGACTCCCAGATCAGAGCTCTAGAGCCGCTGATCCTCGCAGTTCACAGTTTACTACTGCACTGCACTGCTGGGCCTCTCAGGCCTATAATGAACGTAAGCTCAATGTGTCTGTGCGTAAGTGTGTGTGTGTGTCTGCCCAGTGAATATTCTGAAACGAGAGGTACGCTCCATCTGTGCATTTCTGCCTCTGCATGTTTGTAGTGTGATGAGAGTAAGGAGCTGTAGTCTCTCCATGTCTGTGAGAGTGCTTCTTTCAGGCGTCTGTGTTCCAGAAAAAATATCCCATCGCTTTACAGCACAGTACTCACAGATCAACCAGCATTAGACCTTTGATGTCATTTCCTCCCCTTCCCCACCTACATGTGGCTGTGTTGACAATGCTGTTGAATTCTGGGCATGGGATGGCTCGGCAGTGCATGTGTTGTGGCTGTGGCTGTGAAATGGCGGTGGTTGTAAAGCCAGCTGCTTCTACCATCATCTCTGAAACGCTGCACACCTCCTCAATGCTGCAAAGCTGCAAAATTTTGTTCTGACAAATAGTTTCCAATTGTAAGGAGAAGCTTTTGTCAGGAAATTTTGTTGTGCATCTAGTAGTTTTAAATGCAGGCACTGTACTGTTATCTTTCGATTCAAAGTGAGCACTTTGTGAGCACGTGTTAAAGGCAAATCGTTTTGTGCAGAGCTTCAAAGTCTCCATAGCCACTGTGTTGTTCATGACAAGAGCTGATTTTGTGTGCCAGAAGTCACTCATAATGTCATGTTCCTAAAGGTAGAAGAATGTCGCAGAGACTGTAGTCCACCCTTTTGCCTTGTAGTCGTTTCCAGCTGCTATATGTGTTTTGCACCTTAAATACCAGGAAATCAGACAGTTTGTTTTAGCATATAAATAAAACCAAGTATTGTTTCTTATTTTTTAATTTTCAGGTAGCTGGAAGTCAGACATTGAAGGAATCAGGGAAACCTGTGAAAGTTGCAGAAAGCGATGTGGATGTAAGTATTAGATTAAAAACTCCTAAAAAGATTCTCTTCATAAATAATTTACACTCAGTTTTAATTCCTCTAATGAAATGTATTTATTTATAAATAAATTTATTTATGTAAATACTGTAGATGTCAAGGAAGAGTTTAATTCTCAAAATGTTTCATCTAGTTCTTTTACTTTGATTAAAAAAACGTATTGCAATTAGGCCGAAGTGGGTAATTAATGTGTTAATGTGCAAAAACGTTTAACTGGGTTATCATTGTGATTGTAAGTGTTCTAAGTCATGTAAATGTATGATTTTTAAATTAAACTCAGCTTAGCTTTTCTACTGTCTGCTTCACAAAGTGTGCAATGAAACTGGCTCTGGGTCAATTGCTATTTTCACAAAATTGTATCTCTGAAACTTTGGCTACGTTCACACTGCAGGTCTTAATGCTCAGTTCCGATTTTTTGAAAAAATCAGATCTTTTTGTGTTGAACGTTCACATTACATTTTAAATGTGACCTGCATCAGACCCCTGTGTGAACGCTCCACAGCACTGATGTGACACACATGCGCAGTAAAAGACGTGACGTCTCATCAGCCGGCTTGTTTATTTACAGAGCTAGCATGGATGCTACATTTTGCACATCGAATCAGAAGTTGTTGTTTAATCAGAGCCGATTAAATAATTATCTGACCTGCTTCTTTAGTTCAGTGTTTATATCTGAACCTGCCTCTGACCGGGATGCTCCAGTGAAGCTTTTTTTTTTTGAAAGAAACTACGAGCTGGAAAAAAGTATCGACCGAGCAGCTAACTTTAGGATCGATACTCTCAGCGACCCAGGCTGGACATCGTTATTATCATACTAATGTAAAGTAAAAAGATGAAGCAACTGGACTTGTGGTTTGGAGCTGTAAACACATGGAGCTACAGATTTAAATAGCGAGACTTGAGGTTAGTGTCTAATCGGTCCTTCACCCCCTCCTTCTGATGAAAAAGTCAGATGAATGTGACATGAGCGTTCACACTGCAGTCACTTTTAAAACATCAGATATGTATCTGATTTAAAACCACATACTGAAACAGCCTGGGTCGGATTTAAAAAAATCGGATTTGTCTCGTTCAGACTGTCATAAAAAAAATCGGATATGAGTCAGATGGGTCAAAAAAATTGGATTTGGGTCGGATTTGCCTGCAGTGTGAGCGTACCTTTTGTTCACCACTTATAGCAGTTTAGAATTGTAAGGGACTTATTGGCCGTGACTCACTTCGAGTCTGACTTTTGGAACCCAAACCCTTTTACAGTTTTTAGCAGTTCTGTGTGGTTTCCTTTCATTAAGTCAGTCATACTTAAAGTAATTTATAGTGATTTTTAGGACATATGTTTGTTCACTCAAAATGCCTCATAGAGCATTATTGTTGTAAACATTATTGATGCATTATTCCATCAGAGCAAGAAATAGAAAAGTTTTTTTTCTGACGTTCTGACAATCTTTCAACTAACTAACATTAGTTCGACTTCACAATTTTGAGTTCCGCTGCAACTGAAATGCAGCGTGAGGCCAGGCCTTACAGCGCAAAAATGCCTTTAGGTTTAGGGTATGAAAAGAAGCCATCTGCAACAGGTCTTCTTTTACTCACTTCAATCTGCTTTATACCAATGGCAGCCGCCCTGTCTGGATGGTTTAATCTTAGTAGTAGAAGTAAGTAGTAGTAGTAGTAGTAGTACCAGCTTGGTTAGGCATGGACATTCAAGGCTGTAGCTGTTGTTCCCCTCTAGACAAAAACATGAAATTCTTGTTCTATCTCTGACTGTCAGGACACAGTAGAGGGAGAAAACTAAAAGGAAAAGGACTGAATAAAAAATGATTATGAGAAAATGTTTGCAAGGTTTTTTTCAGTTTTTAGCCCTAGATTTAAGGAATCAAACAGGATCCAGGCAGTTTTAATGAGCAAATTCCAATGTTCTTTCATTTGGGCAATCCAAACAATTCCCTTTTTGGGTTTGTGTTTGCTCTTTTAAAAGGATTTCTCTCACACAGCTGCTTGAATTATTTATGCACATTTTGTCTGCAGTGAAGATCCAACAACAGCATCGTCATGGAAACCACTAGTGCTAAATAATATATTTTGTTCTGTCAATATTATTGTGTAATCACTGTGTTGCTGTTTTATCTCCAAGTGATTAAGTGACTTTACTTTAGTTGATGGTTGTTAAAGAAAATTAATGATTATCTGAGTATATCTAACACCGTTGCACCCATGCTGATAAATAGTTTTATTCATCGTCAATATGCTTACAAAAACCTGGGCTAGTGGAGCTACAGGATATTAGGCATTAAAACGAGCATTCAGAGATAAGTGTATGTGTATGCTGTCATCATTGCGTGCTCCCATACAATATTTGTCTTCTGCATTTAACCAAGGGAATCAAAATGATCCCAAGTCTGCTGCCCTACCATTGCACCACAAAATGTGGCTTGCCTAGCAGAGGATGGTTTCGATCCATCGACCTCTGGGTTATGGGCCCAGCACGCTTCCGCTGTGCCACTCTGCTGATCACCCCAGATGGGACTCGAACCCACAATCCCTGGCTTAGGAGGCCAGTGCCTTATCCATTAGGCCACTGGGGCTGTGTGATGATCAATATTCAGACCGAGCTCCACATACCTGCACACGGTCACTGCAGGTGCAGATAAAAAAGCCCATTTTTAATTAAGTAAATGGGCCACTTAATTATCAAACATCCCTTCATAGACACACACACTCTCTGATTAGCACTGAAGGATGCTGTATCACCGAGTCTCCCTTCATCTCCCTGCCTTCTCAGCTCTGTGTCTCCCCCTGCAGGTGAAGTTGAGTCGGTTATGTGAGCAGGATAAGATTCTCAAAGACCTGGAGGCCAGAATCAGCTCTTTGAAGGATGACAAGGTAAACCCTCTGTCATTTACAAGCACAAATGTTTCAAAGTTGGAACAATTTGATGTAATGGGGCCACAATTTAGTGTCAGTGAAGCTACTTGATTTTAGGTAACACGCTGTGATGCATATGTAAGTCAGGCCATGGATGTTTTACAAAAAGGAAAGTCAGGGATGTAGATATCCCAGCTTTTTCAGTTTATTAATGCACACCTAAAACCCAGAAACAGAACATTTTTAGCTGCTTAACAGGACATACTGACTGAACTGTTCTCTCCTTGTTTACCTCACACTGCTCTTTTTAGGACAAGTTGGAGAGAATACTGGATGTGTCCCACCAGCAGATGGAGCAGTATCAGGAGCAGCCGTCCCACGCCCACAAGATTGCCTACCAGCAGAGGCTGCTGCAGGAAGATCTGGTGACAATCAGGGCCCAGATATCTCGACTGTCCACGGTATCTAACCATGTCTGTGAAACGATGAGTGCTTTTGATTGGCATAGTGGCATCATTTTATTCAAATGCAAAGCCTAACAAATAAACATTAATTTCCATTGAATCTTTTTGAGCAGTTCTCTTTTTGAATTAAACAGAAAAGTGCATTTATTTGGCTTCTGCAGGAAATGGCACATTCCTGGGAGGAGTACAACAGGCTTGAAAAATCTGTGGAGCAGCTGAGGATGGCACTGCAGACACTGATGAACAACAACGACACGTCTCAGGTGAGGCCTGAAAACACCAAGATGTCCCATAATTTGTTAGTGTGCGGAGTATGTGATTAGGATGACTCTCTGCCACTACTACTACTAATTTTAGCTACACGTCTAGCAGTTGTATGTTTTCTAACAGGCCATGTTGAACTAGGGTGATTATCAGCATTAATCCATTGTTGATATGCACATTTTAATTACTTTTAGTTTTACTAAAACCAACGATTCATGAGTGCTTTGCTAACAGACAGAAAGAGTTCAATTTAATAGTTAATGATTAAAAAAATAGTTTTCAAGTTGATCATTCTCAGCCACAGGGTTACATTTCTTTATTACCAGGACAGATTTCTGTCCTCAGTAAAAACGAGAAGAAGAATTCTGTTTTATGTTGTGATTTTCATTAAAATCATTCAATCTAATTATGATGCATGGATTAAACTGCTGCTGCTTTTGACAAATAGTCAACCAGAGCTTTAGTTTTACCCAATCACAGCAAAGCAGAGTGTGCCACATTACTGAGAGACTGAAGGTGAAAGCACCCAATGCGTGGGTAATCTGAATTTTTTTTTTGCTTTAATCTCTGCAGCTACTACAGCACCAGATAGATTTTTGCTTTGTGTGTGTAAAAGTTACTAAGTTATAGTAATTTTTGTGTTTGTTATGGTCAAACAGCTGTGACATCCATTTTAAACTGGGTCGACTTCAAACGTTTTGAAGTTGTAGACGTTCTCACAGTGGTTACATTCTGAGAGTTTCATTACAGTCTGCCTGTCTGTTTATGAGATATTTTGCTAACAGACACAAATGAACAGACACAAGTTAAAACTGGCTACATTTCATAGTAGAGGGTGAAACAGTAAGTTGAGGTGGCTCAAGACTTTTGCACAGTGCTATATGGAAAACCGTAGAGTTTATAGAAGATGTACTTTTCACCGTGAAGGCACAAGAAAGCTCTTATATGCAGCAGAGATATTTGAATTAAAACTTCAAAAGGGAAGTAAAATGAGTGAAGTTTTTTTTAAACCCTCAGCAAGAAAAGGCTGAGATGAAGCGAGAGCTGTGGAGGATTGAGGACGTCATGGGGGGACTCAGTGCCAGCAAAGCCAACTACAAGATAACCATCGACTCCATCCAGAACCCAGGTGGGACACAAACAAACGCAGCCCCTTCACAATCATTTATTTTATTTATGCAACGGGTTTAAAGTTGCAGTTATGTTGGAACAATACGCACACCTATAACCTCCATGTTCTCTGTAATCCTGAAATAACTGTGATTTAAGCAAGTGCTCAAATTAAAACCTGTTTAATTTACACACCACACCAGACAGGAAATTAGTGCCTTCGCTGTCAGACCCAGCAGTGCCTTCCCACAGCACAGAGGTCCAGCCCCCTCCTCGCAGCTCCGTCTCCAGCATCCTCTCCCACACGTTGCCCCCCAGCGCCGTGCCAAAGTGGGTGAGTGTCACCTAAGTGCTCGAATCAACACAGTTACCTGTGTTAAACTTCATCCCGGGGTTCTAATGAAATCCCTCGTGGTTTTCCTGCTGCACAGGCAGAGGACAGTGCCCCACCCAGACCACCACTGCCTCGCCTCTATGACTATGAGGAGACGCCCCCGGTGGTGCCGCCCCTTCCCAAAGAGGCCTCGGTCATCCGCCACACGTCAGTGCGAGGGCTCAAACGCCAATCAGACGAAAGGAGGAGGGACAGGGACGGTGGGCAGTATGTTGCCAATGGAGATTGTAAGGTAGGCAGGTTCTGGTGACTTTAGCTACAACTTGCTACATGTCGTTCTGACAAATTAGAGGCTCTTTGGTTTATTGTGAAGAGATTCAGATCTCCTCTTGTTTAATATCTGTTCCAGACTGATTTGAGATCATACCTGAGTGAACCAGAACTGCCAGGAAGCAGCCACCAGAGTACTAGCTCTGACGCAGACTACCAGTATTACCCCAGCAAAGGTATTTGAGGAGGAATGGGTTAAATTATGATGAAGTATTAGGACCACGCAACAGGATTTATTAAATTTCTTTTATCACGAGAAAAAAGTCAGACTCTTACATCACATGTCCATTTTCCATTCCTGATTTTTTTTCCTTATTTCCTCATCGTTTTCCTCACACACCCATGTGTGTCAATGTGTTTATGAAGAAGTCCACAATGTCTTCTGGGTCACTAGTGTAATATCATATGCTTCCATCCAAAGTGCATGACAACTAAATCTATCATTGCAGCCAATAATTACAAAATGGCTAAAATATATCATATAGTCATTTGTACAATCGTTTCAAAGTCCTGCTACTGATAATCTGATGTTGATGTGCTAAAAGATTAAGTATATAGTTAAATAACCCACTTATACTATGTGAACTATAGCCACCACCAAACATTGCATTGATGTTTTTTGTTGTTGTTGTTGTTGTTGTTGTTGTTGTTGTTGTTGTTGTTGTTCATGTAGATGCTGTTTTTGATTGCAAATTAAATGAAACTGCTTCAGTTCCCACAAAAAGAACCCTCATCTAAATTTACTGAACATGTTACATAGTTTTGAAAACTTCTCAAACAACTCAGTTTTACTAAATTGTAATCTCGAAGTCTATCTTTGCATGATATTTTGAACCATATTTCAGTCCATACTGAGATCAAAAACAAGAACTTTATATACATTGCCTGGCCAATAAATAAAGTGTCCACCTGGATTTGACTAAGGTCTATGATGTGGGGCTGCTGCAGGTGGTCAGGTTTAAGTTCAGCAACAGTGTGAGCTCAGAGAAGGAGGTCAGCTGACTACCTGAAAATATATAGAATGACCAGGTTATTCCATCAATGGATTGTTTCTTCTCTGATGGCATGGCCATATTCCAAGATGACAATGCCAGGATTCATGGGGCTCTTATTGTGAAAGAGTGTTTCAGGGAGCATGAGACATCATTTTCACACATGGATTGGCTCCACAGAGTCTTTTGATGATCTTTAGGATGTGCTGGAGAAGGCTTTGTGCAGCGGTCAGACTCTACCATCATCAATGAAAGGTCTTGGTGAAAAATTAATACAACACTCTGCAGAAGCTTATCCAAACAATGCCACAGAGAATGTGTGCCACAATCAAAGCTAAAGGTGGTCAAATGAAATATTACAGTGTGTGACTTTTATTTTCTGGCAGGCAGTGTTTTTTAAATTTATTTACTTACTTACTTACCTCCTTACTTACTTACGTACTTACTTATTTGGATATTTACATCATTTAATTGTTTTCACTGCTTCACTGTGTAAATGAGGCTTTAACCAATCTACTGTGTCCATCAGGCACCACATCTCAAATGAATCAGTCCAACTCCATCTCCTCCTTCGTCACACTACGGAGGGGTCCTGGCAGCTCTGCAGTAAAGGTGAGTGAATACTGCAGCCTTTACTTTATCAGCTGATATCAGGGATTAGATAACAAATGTCATTATTTTAAACTGGTTCAAATCTTTTTGTATATCTAATCAGATAATGTAGACAATGTCATCAGTTTTGTTAGCTGAGATTTTCTTCATTTTCAGCCTGCTACGCTGTAAAAGTGTGAGCGTCATGCTTAAGTAACAAATGTTTGTTTGTGTCAAACTTTCTCAGTGTTTTTGATTATTATTTTTTTCTGATTTTGATGTAGAAATAGCAACAGAGAATTGGCCTTAATAATTGTTTTCTGTGTTCTTTTCTTGTTTTAAAGTCAAATAATTGGCTATTTAAGTGAGAGGTTTTTTTTTTTTTTACCAGATTTTCTGGCTTGTGATAAAATGTATCTTTAAGATATTTCAAATGAAAAAGTTGTTGATAGAGAATAAGGCATAAGAAATGAGTTCTAATGATGTGTCTTTCTAAGTTTCTTCCTTTTTACTGTTATATTATGTATGTTCTAAACATTTCATAACCCATTTCATAAAGGTAATTTGTATTTCTTTAAGTTTTTGGCCATTGGCTTGAACTAAGTTTTGAAATCTGCCCACCTGCTGCAACATAAACTGTATTTATTTTACAGGATATTATTGTATTATTAAAGAGCCTTCTTTATGCTAACTGTGTCTTTAGATATCATCCCTGGTATTATGTCAACCCGTTCTCATTCTACCTCTTTTTTCTGCCATCTTTTCTTCATCTTTGTCTAACTAGGAAAGACCAAAGAGTGCCTTTGAGCGTCTGTCCTCCCCCACTGAGGCCTCACAGCTGCCCATCAGCCAGCCTCGAGGCCGGATGACCGCAGAGGAGCAGCTGGAGCGGATGAAGCGCCACCAGAGGGCACTTGTCCGCGAGCGCAAGCGGAACCTTAGCCAGGGCGACCGCACCATCACGGGCCTCTCCACCTCCTCTGGCGCGACGCAGCGCTCCTCCTCTTCCTCCTCCAGGCTGCCCTCAAGCCCCTCTGACCCTCCGACCTCCGTACGTTACCCCCCTCCTCAGCGCAGCAACAGCAGGCACAGGGAGCAGCAGCTGCAGCACCAGTGCTGCTATGCCACTCTCCATCCCCCCGCCACACAATAACCTAATAACACCCTCTCACTGCCTGTCTTTGTGTAACTGGTGATTGTTGATGGTTACTGTTGGCACTAACAAGCTTAATGGCAGGACTGACTACAGCTTGGTTAACACATTAAGTACAAAGATCTCTTGGCTAGTTTTGGACATGGACAAAGTGGCTCCTTGGTTATTTTATTTTTTTAAAGGTTCAGAAGTTTAGCACTGCCTCTCTCGAGGGACCTCACTGACACAATTTTGAATGTAAATCCATAAAGAAGAGAAAAAAGAAGTGCAAGGCATCAACTCTACCTTCACTTCTTTGTTTTAATCAATAGATAGTAGAGAAGAGCCCATAGATGTACATCTGCATACTGTATGTACATTTTTATTTATTACCTGAGTGATATTTTCAGTATACAGTTGTATAGATCTATTTTGTATAGATTTGTTATATAGAGCATATAAAGAGTAGGAGGTCAGGAAAAGAAAATATCAAAAGCTTTTCAGGTTGATAAAATGATGCAACCAGAGTGGGACAAATCATGATTACACCTCCCTATGTTTTCTTCAAATGAATTCCAAGTGCCTTGTTTCAGTGATCTTTTTGCCTTTGTCCCAAATTTTAATCTCTTTACTTTGTACTTGTCAATCATAGTTTATTGAAAGCGCGCGCCAACACTTTACAGAGTCACTTATGAATGATTCAGAGAGAGCCTGCTTCGAGGTTGGTTCTCTGTGTAGATGCAGGTTTTTGTCAGGGAGATGTGGAAACATTGCTGCTTTTAAAGGAATTGTTCAGAACCTTTGAATGAGGGTTCTGTGGAATAGGTATGAACAGTTAATATCTCACCTGCTGTAGATAGCACTTTGTGCAAGCTCAGTTTGGCGAAACAGAGTTTAGTTCTGACAGATTGGACAACTACTGCTCTCTTAAAGCAACTCCAGACTCAAAACTTATATTGTGGTTTATTCAAACATTATTTATAATCCCCCATATGGTTATTCAGGTTGAACTATCAGGATCTTTCTGCAAGAAGTACTACAGGAAGTGCTGCTAATTATTCGCTTACAAATATATAAGATTCTATTTAACAAAAAACATGCAATTCAAAATTGACATCAGTTTCTAGGTTAATTAAATTGGGTTTTGATTAATTGTTTTTAACATTTTAAGTTTTAAAAAAGTAGCAATCTAATTTTGTCATTAGCTTTTTGTTCATTATTAGCTTGTTAATTTCACCAGAATTCTGGTGCATTCCATTTGTAGATGGAAGTCAAAAAAATCAACTTGAATTCGGTTTGTTCCTGTTTTTTTTCTGCGTTATTGCAATTCTGAACACCTGATGTTACTAATAAGAAAACAATATTGCTAATCAGTAGTAGAAGCAGCCAGAGGAAGGACTGAGTTAGCCTGTTTTTGTTATTTATTGTTAAAATAAAAAAACAGTATAACAAGGTCCACAAAACCAGAAAAGGCAATTTAACATGATTAACGGAGCAGGGAAGGTTAAAAAATAATTTAGTGAAAAAAAAACACAAAGCGAACTACATTTCAGTTAAGAGGACTTTCCATTGTTAAATTAAATTATTGATATATTGGTATAATGATTGTTTTTACTATTTTGTTTTAAAAAGTTGAAAACAAAGGTGATTTTTTAAAAACGGCATTTATGAATAAAACAATTTGCCAGGAGGATTAAATTGTTTTTATCATAGTTTGATTCTTCATCCCCTGTTAGAAGTCCAAGTTATCCTGATTACTGAACATAATTAGTAAATCTTGCTGCTTTTCAAGTAGCAACTGGGTTGTGTTCAAGCTGAACCTCCTATAATCACTTTCCTTCAAACTGAGTGAGTTTATCGAGCTATCTACAACAAGTACAGTATCAACTGTTCATAACATTTTCACCGAGCCTCGATTCATAAGATCTGATTTATTGTTTTAACCCCTAAAGAGATGCTCTGATATTCAGATTATATCTATTTTACAGACAGCTTTGCTCTGTTTTTGAGGTTATGCTAGCCGTGCTTCAGTCGAAATGTCAAAGATTGAAATTAAACATGGTAAACACCTGATTGATGTGATGATTCCAAATGAACACAGGAGGCTGCTGTGAGTTCACTTGTATTTTCAATATATTCCTCACCAATCTAAATTCATGAAGCAATACATAGTTTATCACGTTCTCTTGTTGCTTTGTTCACCTTTTGAAATGAAGAGTAGTTGGTCTCCACTGGAGTTTAACACGTTTATGTGGTTTGAACTAACACCAACGCCTGGACTATATGTGGATTACACGGTGTTTTATTGTCTAAGGGTAACTGATAATTATACTGACACGTTTAGAAGTTGAAAAAGAAGATCTGGGTACCTTTTAAGCGACCTATACTGTGCTGTTTTATGCATTAAATAGGAAGTTCAAGGACTGAGCTTAAATACAGTGAAGAAATAAATGTGAACAAGGAGTGGACAACTTTGTCCTGGGAGACTGGAACGAGCATCATGTTGAAAACCAAGAGATATTTAGTTTATGAATACCTCTAACTCTAAGACTCAAACAAAACATTTGAACAGAACCAAACATATTGTTTTGTGTTTCAAATTTAAACAAATCGAATCAAGTCTAGCTCCGACGTGACGCTGCTGTCCGCTCCTGGTTTTCCAACAACTATTTATTTCCAAAGCTGTCCCTTCATCCTGCTTTCATCTCTCCACAGTTCAGTGTATGAAATCAAAAAGAGAAATAGTGACAGGAATAGCAACAGAAGGTACAAACATAGCGGGGGGGACTTAGCGAACTGCTAAATGCCAACAAATTCTATGTAACTGAGAAGCAATGAACAACTTTTCTCCCTTTTCTTTTCTATCATGTAGAGATTTGCACTCAATAAAGAGTCTCTTGCTTCTGAACCTCCTCTCGACTGTTTTCTTCTTAATCTGGTGGGGGGGGGGGTATGATGAATGTTTGCATGGTTCTTTCTCTCTCTCTCTCTTTGTTTTTCGATGTGTGCGGTTTCTTCTCCTGAGCACAATGCAGCATGGGATGCGGCGTTTCTCGGGGCATGTGAACGTGCCGACAGGTCAGACTCTGCAGGCTGCTGGAGTGGAGGGATGCATGCATGGTTTTGGTTTCTCCTTGGATGCTTACTACTCACAAGTAACCACACAAAACACACAATGAGCGTTGGTTTTTTTTCCAGAGTCGTGTTATTTTTGGGGAGGTTAATGAGCTGCTGTGGGGTGGAGAGGAGGGTGTGGTGTGTTTGGATCTGCAGCTTCCAGGAACACAAACAAATGATCTGCTCCAGCTCGTTCTGTGGTCATAGTGCCAAATATCAGAAGGTTCTGGCTGTGATTAGTTGTAGATACACACAGTCAATATCCAATGTATCTCCCTGTAGCGACACTAAATTTTTCCAAAAACTTAAGACATATTAGTGATTTAGCATCCATCGTTCTGTAGCATGCACATTTCAAACTCATGGTCCGTGGCCCAGATCTGGTCTTTCTTTCAGTTTTAGCTGGTCATTCATTTTATTTATTTATTTTTTTTCAGTTTTAGAACTGGCCTGCCAATCTGTGACAAGTCAAATCTCTTATCACTGAGCATACTTACTTATGCTTAATTAGCTCATTTTGAAGCTACGGAAAACTTATGTTGAACTTAAATCTTTTAATAATAATAA